TGCTCGTCGTGCCGATAACGACTTCCCCCGCGCGACTTGATCAGCTGTGCGAAGAAGAGCCCGACACTGCCCGCGACGGTGTGCACGAGGACAAAGTCGCCTGCTTGGACATTGTATGCCTCCGTCGCGAGCGCGAGGGCCGTGCAGCCTGTCGTTGGAACACGATCAGTTTGGGGCGGATGGGTATCAGAGACGTACAGACCAGGGGTGAGCGTCGCTATCGCAGTGCGGCCCGAAATTTCGTCAGGTAGAGGATAGACGGTGTCCCAGGTCGTGACGAAGTATTCCGACATCGGTCCATTGGGGAAGGCCATCCCGAACTGCGTCCATCATGAACGTCGTGCGTAACACCAGCGAGAACAATCCATATGCTTACCGAGACAACCCTGCTGCCAATGTTGAGCGAGCGTACCTTGTACTCCTCGTCCTTCAGCACCTCGTCATCTGTGGGGACGGAGACAATCGTTCCGGCGCACTCGACACCAAAGGCAAATGGGAAGGGTGGGAGCAGGAGTGGCCATACGCCCCGGCGTTTCTGGGCATCAGACCAGTTGACTCCAGCCCACTCGACCTGATGTGTAGTGTGAAAGGGTCAGTATTGAATGTCATCGGAGCGCTCCTATTCAACAGACGACTCGCCTTGATGAGGATCTGATTCGGGCCTGGGGTTGGGACAGGAAACTGGAATTCCTCGATGACGTCGGAAGAGTTGCCTGTCTTGGAGATGCCGACGGCAGTCATCTTGGTAGGGAGAGGCATGATGCAGGAAGCTCAGTAGATAGTCGAAGAAGAATATCCGGGATGACTGGGTAGTGTTCGACACTGAGATACAGTTGTTTCGGTCTTCCTTTATACCATAGCCCCTCCATGCCAGAGAAGCCACACGATCTCCGTGGACTTGAGCATCGGCCACAACGAACGGCCCGTTTGTGCGTTCAGTCGTAGGCGTTGTGGAACGTTGTGTTCTGCAAGTCGCATGTAAACCTGCTGACGACAGACGCATCGGGGCATAGTGGGAACTTCCCAAAAAGGATCAACCCACCTGATTCTCCGGCACGCCAATAGCGCCTCCAATCGAAGTGCCAATATTCTAGCTCGCTCCGGAGTGTCGGATGGACTCGAGGTTAGACACAGTGAATCTGCTTGACTGCGGTGCCGACTCCCGGGCATTGTATAGATGAGTGAAAGTGTTGTAAACGTCGACGTCAGAGATCCCGGGTGCCTGACTAGTACTATAGCATTATATCGCCGGTCAAACAAGCATCCGTTGGCCAGCTGTCTAAGCATCCAATGTCATGAGAGGAACGTATACATGTGAGTTTAACGCTTGTGAACGGGCAATGAACATGCATCGGAGTACGAGTGCCTAATGAAAGTCAGGACGATTGTGATGGGATTGGGTGGAGCTCAGGGAGCGATGCGCGTCTACATATCATTTTTCGGCGAGTGCCGATTCTCAAGCGCTCAAGAAGGGCGCCGACGCTTCGCGCGTAATGGTTCAGCTCGTGTTCTCCTGCCGGCCCCGAATTCTTCGTTGTCGTCCTGCTCATAATTGCTGAGGACAGAGTTCACACGGAGTCAATATTGACAGCGAATAGCCATCCACGCTGACACTGCGCAGACGATCTTGGTATGAGACTACCGCCAATTGCTATTTTTTGGCAGCCAAAGCGAAAGCGATGACTCGGAAGGTCATCGTCGCATGAAGAGTCTGTACACGTCTTAGATGATTGTTTCTCTTTGATACTGAATGGGATAATGACTCGAAGATGATGAGTAAAATGGGCACTAGCCGGAATGAAGTACATCACTGTGTGACCAAATAATCCTCAGGCTGACAGCCGATCATGTACCCAACTGTAATCTCATCTTCGCTCTCCCAGGAAGCGTCAAATGATTGAGGCCCTGAGTACCCTTCCTCGTCTTCATACCAGAGCCCTATCATAACATTAGTCGAGCCGGAGTCCTTGCGAAATTGTGACACGTACATAACAAGATCATATTCCCGAGGTGTCCCGTAACCCTCAGTCACTCTCGGACTGAGGCCCAGAGCCTCTCATTGTTGATGAGAAGAGTGTGGATTCCGTCACTCGACCGAAATCGTGGCTTCAGGGAGATCTTGGGAGGTATAGTAATGTGTAATTGTGCCGGTGCCGTCGCGAGGCGCTATGCCATTCGGAGTCTATGAGCCCATACGCGCTGAAGATGAATATAATGCCGTGCATAACTTGCCTTGCGCTCGTTGTCTGCATACTCAATCTTCTTCTGCAGCGCTTCCAAAAGGACGATGCTACCAAGTTTGATATCCTCTGCTACGGCCTCAGCTGTCGTCTGATGCTGGTTGAGAATCTCTTCCATATCCCGTTCATCTTCGGAAATGTGCTTCTAAGGGAATATATCCCCGGGGATCATGCTTTCATAGTGAACCTCGTTCATGTGGTATAGCTCGGGATTGAACTGGGCACTGGTTGGTGGTCTGACGTGACGAGTATTATGAGCAAGCGATACCACAAGTTACAGCGATCTGATTTACTACGGAGTAAGTAGTGGCGGGCTTGTGAGCATCTGGATTGATAAAATTTGAGGCTATTCTGATGATCAGCTCTTGATATTGAGCATGTGCAGGCGCCTACTGACCCTTTCTGATGTCACTATGTGTAATAAAGCTGTCAGTCGTGACTCGTGTGCAGTACTACCTAAGACGCATCAGAAGGAGGTCAGCAGGCGTTTTGTGACGCCTTGTCTTCGCGACGTCGTGGATCAACTTGTGAAGAAGGCCTGACCTGAAAAAGCAGCTGGCGGAACATTCCTGCTCTTGAAGTCAGAACTGAGATGTCGATTCAGGGTCGTCTTAACTATGAGTAGTGGTAACTGCGCCATTCTACCAAGATTTCCCATCTCATCGGTGAGCGTAATGGTCGCCATCAGACCTCGGTTCGCAACTTCCAGCAGGTACATGTTGCAAGCGTCATTTGTGGCTGCGAACACCCTTGATCATACTGGCTGATAGATGGGATACGGGAGAACTGACGAAAAATGAAAGAGTCACGGATAATGCAGTGACTGTGTCGTGAGTCGTTCAACTTCCCGGTTACTCGTAACCGGAAAAGGAGTTTGTAGTCGGGAACGAGGTTTGGAAACATGTTTGGCCATATTCATTTATGAACTATACCCCTGCAAAACCGTTAGCGTTCCTCACAAATTTATGGGGCCTGGTCTTACTTGGATGGCGCATGTGTGCTCGGGAAGTTAAGGATGATTTGGAACGGAAAACCTCGCAGTAACGATACACGAAAGCTGGACACCGCAGGTAGCACGCACACCCTCCGGAAGAGTACAACAGAAGCAAATGCCATACCGAGTAGGCAGACCAACAGAGCAACGATACTATACTGTGAGTATTCGGAACGGATCCGAACCGCCACCCTCCAGTCCTGCCAGGACGGCCTGACGGACTGCGCCAAGGTAATCGCCCAGCCGACGACCGTCCTGCTTCGAGAAGTCCTCGTACAGCCTGTATCGCGAGTCTGCAACGATATTGACCAGCGAAAGCGCGTGCTTCATGTTCCTAAAGGCGTGCATATGCTGTGTCAGTTGCAAACGGCCAAGACGCAGAGAGGGCCAAGCGACGCACTCGGGGATGCGACTCCGGGAGCCAACAAGGATGGAGTGTAGGCGGATGATGAGCTCGGGGATGTAGATTTGTCGTATGCGACTCAGGTCGCGGCGTCTCCGATCCCCTAGAGACCCATCCGTATACTTATCAGCGTCGGCGGGGGCAGCACGCAAGCGAACAACGCACCATTGTGCACCTCCGCGTCCGACATGAGCCAGTCCGTCGTCAGCAGCTTGATCACCTGCTCTCTCGCCTGCTCGACCAACGTCTACCCACACCAGGAACGTCAGCGTTAGCGGCGCCCCTCGCGACGCACGGGTGGGAGAGGACGCACCTTGTAATCGTCCAGCCACGCCAACCTCGTCTCCTTGTTCATCTGTGGCTGCTCCAGCGCCTGTGTCTCCACGACGCGCGAGAGGAGTTCCCAGACGTTGAAGAACTGCCGGTAGTGCATGAACTCCGTCGCCTGGTCCTCGGGTTCAGGCAGACTCCCGAGCTCCGGTGGGAGCATGTCGAGGAGCATCTTCGATAGTTGGATGCGTCCTCGTCCTGAGGAGAGAGTTGAGCATGTATGGGTAGAGAGAAGCGTGGTGAAGGTACCCAGGAAGTAGCGGAGAATAACATTGGCCTGCTCTAGCGCAGTGTCGTATGTCGACTCCAGGAACGTCGTCCACTCGATCGAACGCAGGAGCAGGATCTCCGCGTCCGTCGCTGCAGGCTCCAGCCCGATGATTGACGGCAGAGGACCCTTCACAGGGGGCAAGATCTGCTCAGCGCCCTCCGTCAGCTCCTATGTCGCACAGATCTTTATTTCTGTCTAACTCACCGTGAACGTCTTTTCAATCGTCCTCTCCGCCGTGACAATTGCCACCCGCTCGATATCCAAGCCGTGCTCCCGTGCACGAGTGAGCGCGAGCCTTCGCTCATGCATATCCCCAGACAGCTCGAGCGACGTGAGGAACAGCGCATAGCGCTCCACCGCGTTATCCCCGAGCGCCCCGGCGTACATCGCGATCAGCTCCCGCTGGCCCGCGCTTTCGAGCACTCGCAGATATGCTTCGAGGATGACCTGGGTCGCGAGTGGGGAGACGGGCATGTCGATCAGCTGCAGGAAGAGGCAGAGATGTGCGAAGAAGCGCGTCAGCGCCGGGTACCTACGCCGTGGCCCGTCAGCTAAGTGCAGAACGTCAGACCAAGCAGAACTCACTCGGGCGCCGAGACATATATACCCTCCTGCAGCCCATTTGCAAACGACTCCAACAGCTCATCAGTCTTGTCTAGGATGATATGCAGCTGCGAGATGTGGTACGGGTGGTCTGCTGGGGCACCTTCCGCGACCTGCACCGCCTCCAAGGCCTCCAGCATCTGCTTCACGTCCTCTTCCCACTCCTCCTCCACCTCCTCTTCGGGAACCCCGCCTGCTTCACTTGCCGCGCTGCCTTCCAGTGTGCCCAAGCCGCTCTCCCAGAAACATTCCCGCGCGATGCGGGCGAGTCCGAGGCTTAGACGCTCCTCGCACGCGATGCTCACCAAAACCCACAGGTGGTCTTCCCAGGTGCGGCACACAGCCTTTAGCACGGCAGCGGTGGAGGGTGTGGGTGCGAGGGCAGCGTATAGCGCACGCTCTGTTGGGGAGAGCGTTGTCTGAATAGAAATGATCAGTCGATCACAACGTTGGCGCACCCGAGGAAACCGACGTACATTGAGTGCAGTTCGCTGGCAGACGGTTTTCCACATCTGCCTGCGGACATTCCCAGACCATTGTTGGGAGTCCTCCGTGTCCTCCTCGTCCATCGCGTCATCGTCCCGTGGTGCATTCGCTGAACATACAATGGATCGGGCGTTTGAATGGAATGTCTGGGGGGTTGAACGGGGATAGCCACTCACAAATCGTTCTCCACTGGAAGAGAAGCGCGCCCCGAAGACTCGCCGCGCGCCATGGCTGGTTCGCTTTCCTGCACAGGTCGATCGCGTCTTCGAGCTGACCTGCGCGGACGTGCCCATACAGAGCTTGAAGGAAAGCTTTTTCATATGCCTGCCGTGTCTCGCCCTCAGCAAGGGCTCGTCATCGAACACAATCGCGGTCGAGCTCCGCGCAAGAGTGATTGAAAGCGACCTACTCACCGCATCGTCTGGGGCCAGACCCTTTCCCTCTTCACCGCTCCTGTTCACAGCATCCGGGTCCAACTCCGATACCACACCGCCAGCCACGCGTCCTGTCCGCTTGCCTTGTAGCACGGCATTTCGGGTGAATCGCCAGTATCCATTCGTTGCACCCGGGGTTGCTGGTAGTGGCGCAGAGTCGTGCAGCCACTCTCTTACTACGACAAGGGAAGAGAGCGTGATGGACGCGTTCATGATGGATTGGGCGAGGTTAGCGGGTGGCGTATATGGGTTGGCGGCGAGGAGGTCTCGGGGATGAGGGTATTCAGGTAGAGTGGTCTTGCGCAGTCTATCGTAGACGTTCAAAAAGCTTTCATGCAGCAGATCGGAATACAACGTACGACATGAGTGCCTGCAGTAGTGCCCATGTATCACTCTCCATTTTGAGTGCGTCCAGCTCGGTGGGTGAAGCGGTCCCCTCCACGACTGCCTCCTGCAGCTCCGCCAGGCTGATAGGCGCGTCGATGTGTATTCACCACATGAAAACTGCTCTCATGCTTACTGCTGGTTGCATATTTCGCGCAGCCTCGGCGCGAACCCGGTCTCCGGATGTAGGAGGGCTTCGAGATCATCCTTGTTCGTTTGGCAAACGGACAGAACCTCCGCGCAAGCGGCGTATAAAGCTTCAGACATAGACTTTCACCTGAAATAGCCCAGTATCAACGGTGAGCACGCAGGTCAGGAGGGAAGCGATGCGAAGGAAGGGTAGTGGAGGCACAGAGGGAGTGGCGCGCACGACGCGTTCGACGGCGAGCCTAAGGAATAGGCGCACATCGCATCGTTGTCTCTTACCTGCATCTCATAGTGCAGCACATTTCCAAGATCATACGTTAATCTGGACACATCCGATACTAATTGTGCATCCACCGTCGCGCCAGGTACTTCTACAACATTTGCATGTTGGTTAGCCCCCGCCCGTCATGATATATCCGGCAACTCCTTGGTACCCTCCTTTCCGATTTCTTGGGTCTTCATAACATGCCGAATCTAAGCAGAACTTTCCGACGAAGCATACCCAGCAAGTGCACACCAATGGGCCAAACTGAAAGTACATTGGAGATCTGAGTGGGCCCTGCTTTCTCTTTGGAGGCAACGACCGCGCCCCACTGATTGCCTCTTCAGCGTATTTGCACACAGTTCGTACATTCAGTGCCTAGTATGCCCGTACAGAAGCTTACACAAGACCTCTGCGCTGATCGAGTTACCGACATCATCCCAGGTTTCGTCGATTGCCCCAAAAGTATGTGATGGAGACTTTAAAGTGATCGTCTCGCAGATCTCAGACTTGAACGCGTTCTTGCGGCCCTTCCTCTGCCGCCTTCCACGGCCAGGATGACCGCCGTCGGGCTGCAGGACGGGAGACACATTGAAAGTCATTGGCAAGCGACTACGTCCTCGTGCACGCCATCGCGGGTTACGTCGGGCTCTTCGCGCGGTTTGTCAAGGCGCACGAAGGAGCGTCATTTGCGCGATGGGCGCCCGGAGACTGCGAAAGCCGCCTTGTTGCATACAAGACCGAGAATGTCACGCACGATCATAGTGGCAAGCTGGGCGCGCATTCGATCTCGCACAGTGTCGGAAAGGGTGTGTAAATCTTGTTGGATTCGCGTACTGACAGTCGTGCCAGGATACGGAACTAGCAAGCATCCACACGGAAGGCACGATCATCTTGAACGGATTCCAGTCTGATCTCGTAAAGACTCGCGCGCCCTTCGCGTCTCACAGATCATTACGATCAAGGCGGTCGAGCATTCTCTTCGCATGGCGAGCATCCTTTCCCTCGGCTCCTCTGTCTTTCTCATCCTCAATGCTCAGTCTCTGACCTGCGTCATGGCCGCCGCGGGCCGGTAGCATGTCGGGAGGTGATTTCTGACGGCTCTCGTCGCGAACGAGTCTTCATGCCGACTGTACGCAAGGAGAGCCCATTTCGTCCCGAAAGCATACTAGACGTGAGGGACCGAATCCATGGGAAGAGAGGACGACTGGGAAGTGCTTGATCAAGGGAGAGGATTATGTGTATGGCGCGTCAGGAAGTGATTGCACCAAACATGTCTCCCCAACTCTCAATGCAATCTCTCGTCTAGGATTCAGTATTGCTAGAGAAGAGATACAGGAGGATCCATATCACAACATGTCAGGTGCCTGGCGTTCCATGGTAAATGGTATGGCCCTTCCCCGTGCCGATTCCGGCAACCGTCGTCCTTGGTACCTACTACCTCTACTCACCACATGCTAGCCAAAATTATGGTTGCGCCTTCTGATGTGTATCTCTCTTCGTATGTATGCCGTCAGTTGTTGAACCGAGGGTTCTGGATCACCTTCGCATAATCTAGTGCTATCAAATATTCTCCTTCCGGATACCGTTGAGTATGTTTTCAAAACTGTCAAGTAGAGTTATTCTGCGCCCCATGCAATGCTGAGATGGACCAGATCCTATACCGTGAAATATTGCGTTCAGAACAACTCTAGTAGCGGACTTCGGTCGTCTAGGAGCCTGAAGAGCATCGGAGTGACGTACGCAAATGAGACCGGTGAGTCACGTGCCTGTGTTGCAACCCAGCGCCGGCTCTGAGCTACTCCCTGCGCTCCGGCGAACATCATGACACATCTCCTCGCTGTACCGTTGCCTTTCGACGGTGCCAGGAGCGTGTTGTGTCGACGCGCATTCCTTTGTTCTTCTCATCTGCTCTGCTTCCGACATAGCTAGAACTGTGTCCCTTCGCTTCTGCACACATACAGGCAAGCTTTTTGTTCACTGTAAGTTCGTGTTCTTGGTTGTCCCATTCATCTTTCTTCGCTCACCTTTTCCTCCTCTCTTCCTCATTGTGACACGAATTGAAGCGCCCTGCGACAGCCCCTTCCTGTCCCCACTGATCCGCAGGTGGCTCCTGGCGGTCGTGATGCCCCGTCTCCCTACCCTGAACTGCGTTCCCGGTCTACTCCTGACGTCTAGGCAAGTTGAGTCTGCTCGTAATCTTGTCCGTTTTTAGAGGCATTGGGTAGCGGACGCCAAGGCTATTTATGCCAGGTATAAGGTGCGCATTCATGGTCGGCACTCCGCCTTGCGTCTAGAATACATTGTCACGGTTGAGGTTGAAGGTCATTAGGATCTGTTGCAGCGCCGGTTCTACTATATGTACTATGGCAGTACCGCGCCGCGGCAGATTCTGGTGCTTTCCTAATTATTAACCGTGTCGACGTCTTGTAGACTGTGCACACACGCCAAACGAAACTGCTAGTCCTTCTCGTCAGGGTGTGGGCGTGCATCTGGAGATTCCTTGCATCGTTGACATTCCAGGCCGTTCTGACAGCGGCGAATCTGCAGCCCTTAGCACCCAAGGCCGTAATAGTTGATCTCGTGAGTACATTTCTGTGTACAAGCCTCTTGAGCGCGTTTCCTTGCCATCCTCCAAAGTACGCCGATGAGGCCAACACGTGGGTCAGCATCCCTGAGTTTCATCTCTTCTCACGCAACGCTATCTCGTTGTTTCTTGCTGCGTTACCCCGTCGTCTAGTGCACGGCGGAGGCCGACCATCTGGCTCATCACAGACGAGAGCGAGATCAACGCGCGGTGCTATCCACGTCCGCTTCCACCAATCTCCCTCCCTTTCATCTTACATATCCAGTCTGACTTTCTCGTCGCCGGCGATGGGGCTTTCTCCAAAGCAGTGTATGCTCGGCCCCATAGCGTTCGCACGACTCTTATTGCAGGTCGCTCCCAGAAACATGGTCTAAATAGCTGTGGGATGAGGCGTCAGCAGGTGCGTGATGATCGAGGGAAGGACAGCCCTAGGCACACGGTCAAGAAAGTGGGTATCTCCTCATAACCGGCGTACAACGCAACGTTGAGTTAGTCGAGATCCTGCAAATCTTCGCTCTCCAACTTGAGCGCCTTGACCGTGGTCCCTTGCCTCACCACCTTCATCTCACCAGTCGTCGTTTTCAGCGCCAGGTCGCGTCTACACGTAATACTGACCAGTACTCCACGTATCTAGCGGAATTGAGTGAGGGCCCAGCGTCGATGTACGTCCTTTTCCTTGGAGACGGGACAAATCGTCGCCATGTTCCTCACCAGCCGGGCAAGGGTCTGCCGTAGACGGGCTTAGGCCTTTGCCCTCTTCCATCATCAGCTCCTCGAGCTGGCCTCTCCACATCTTCGTGCGACGTTTGCCCGTATCGGCGCGACGGTATAGTCATCCCTGCGTGAAGTCAAGTCGAGCTGACGTTTGTGCTCCGCAGTACCACTGTGTATGGACTTCCTGTATCTGTGGCGCTGCGGCCTCAGCATGGGTACGGAAGTGTAACTCCGTAACGAAAACCATATAATTGGCCGGTTGAAAGTCGACTGGGGGATTGCCTACAAAGGTTAGTGCCGCTTCTACATGTGCTGTGTCGCAGTCGGATTGACGTGAGACATACGCCAGCATGTACGATATACGTAACGACACGATGGCTGTACATGTGACGGACATCGTCTACCTGCTCTGGACGAGGTTGCAATCGCACCCCAATAGCGACGCTGACGCCAGGTCCGTCCTCTCTACTCCATTGAGTCTCCGGTAACCGTACAAGGCGCGATCTCTCATCCACTCGCGCTCAAGCTGCACGTCTCGACGCTCGCGATGCAAACGTACAACGCGTAAGCGGGGGATTACCCGCAGGCACCCTTCGTAGGTGCCCACCTATGTATACATTTTGCGAAGACGCACTGCAGTAATGCACGTGAAGTATCGTCGAGACCACACGTCAGATGATGGGCCTCGAAACCTATCGGTCATTCGTCGCTCCTCACCGAGGAGCCACCACGAAGCAATGCACCCATCCCGTAGATTGCACTTATGCACCACGCGATATCGTTGCTCTTGCGCAAGATGACGCAGTCCGCCCCGCTCGCCTTGGCCGTCGCCTTCTCAGCAATGCCCAAAGTCGTCATCATAGATTGTGTTCTACGAGGACAAAGAGAACAGTAGAAGCGCACGAATGCTTGTTCGACCAAAATGAATTTGAAGCAGCTAATCGCCGGGGATTTCTGGCCTCTTCAACCATTAGTACTGCAGTTCACCAGATTCACTGTGTCTATATTCGAGTTCCGCTGACACACCAGAGCGAGCTACGATATTGGCGTGCCGGAGAATCAGGTGGGTTGATCCTTTGGGGAAGTTCCCACTATGCCCCGATGCTTCTGTCGTCAGCAGGTTTACATGCGACTTGCAGACACAACGTTCCACAACGTCTACGACTGAACGCCCAAACGGGCCGTTCGTTGTGGCCGATGCTCAAGTCCACGGAGATCGTGTGGCTTCTCTGGTATGGAGAGGCTATGGTATAAAAGAAGACCGAAACAACTGGACTTCAGCGTCGAACACACCCTACCCAGTCATCCCGGATATTCTTCTTCGACTATCTACTAAGCTTCCTGCATCATGCCTCTCCCTACCAAGATGACTGCCGTCGGCATCTCCAAGACAGGCAACTCTCCCGACGTCATCGAGGAATTCCAGTTCCCTGTCCCAACCCCCGGCCTGAATCAGATCCTCATCAAGGCGAGTCGTCGGTTGAATAGGAGCGCTTCGATAACACTCAATACTGACCCTTTCACACTACACATCAGGTCGAGTGGGCTGGAGTCAACTGGTCTGATGCCCAGAAACGCAGGGGCGTATGGCCACTCGCGCTCCCACCCTTCCCATTTGCCCTTGGTGTCGAGTGCGCCGGAACAATTGTCTCCGTCCCCACAGATGACGAGGTGCTGAAGGACGAGGAGTACAAGGTACGCTCGCTCAACATTGGCAGCAGGGTTGTCTCGGTAAGCATATGGATTGTTCTCGCTGGTGTTACGCACGACGTTCATGATGGACGCAGTTCGGGATGGCCTTCCCCAATGGACCGATGTCGGAATACTTCGTCACGACCTGGGACACCGTCTATCCTCTACCTGACGAAATTTCGGGCCGCACTGCGATAGCGACGCTCACCCCTGGTCTGTACGTCTCTGATACCCATCCGCCCCAAACTGATCGTGTTCCAACGACAGGCTGCACGGCCCTCGCGCTCGCGACGGAGGCATACAATGTCCAAGCAGGCGACTTTGTCCTCGTGCACACCGTCGCGGGCAGTGTCGGGCTCTTCTTCGCACAGCTGATCAAGTCGCGGGGAGGAATCGTTATCGGCACGACGAGCACCCCTGAGAAGGCGGCAATTGCGAA